TCCGACCCAGGTGTAGGACCTTGCACTTGGCATGGTTAAACCTCATGAGGTTGGCATCAGCCCACCTCACAAGCATGTCAAGGTCCCTCTGGATGGCATTCCTTCCCTCCAGCGTATCAACCGAACCACACAGCTTGGTGTCATCGGCAAACTTCTGAGGGCGCACTCAATCCCACCGTCCATTTTTGCTGCAGTCCTTTCTGCTGACCACTTGTACGCTAAGTCGGCAAATCAGAAATCCCTTCAGCTCTCCCATTCTCAGCAGATATGTCATACCACAGACATGCATAACCGGTGAGGGGGCAGAAAAAAGCAGGAAAAAACAAATTTATACAATCACAAAACCAGCATTTCCAAATTTCAAGTTCTTACTGCAAGTCTTGGCTTAGTTCAGGTTTTTGCTAAACTGCTAGTTCTTCATTTGTGCAATTGTGACAAATACAGATTTTACTGTGGGTTAAGATAGTCAAGTACTCAAAGCAAGGAAAAAAATATCTTGCAAATCCATGAAACTCAAAGGATTAGGGCTAAAATACTAATTAAACTGTTTTAATTGCTCAATTAAAAAAAAATGCATGTTTTTCTTGCAGCCTCATGAATCTGAGAATAAATTTGTGATTTCTGCATGCTTGAGGTTAGCCATACTTTCAAAAGGGCATGAACCCAATAAGTTGGCCTCCTAGCCATGGGAAGAGAGGTTAAGTGGAACACTAAATAATGTGACATATGAGTTGAAACAGCAAGAACTTAGAAGATTTCAACCCTGCTGACACTTGTTTGAACTTTTTTTCTTGGACTGAACCATAGGTGGGATCTAAGCGTAAGGTTCACACTGAGTCTGGCCTCCTGTCCCCTTACTACATTGTGCTGCCTTCTACCAAGTGGCAGATAAGCACAACTTTAGACTGTGGCTGGGATAGTGCAAAATGAAGTGTGTATTCTTTTCAGTTTCATTGAAATACAAAAATCAAGAAGTAATCCCTGTGTCCTGGTGTCAGATACCATGGAACAAAACTTTCAGCCATCATACTTTGTTGTTTTACTTGCTGCTGATCAGAGCTACAGTTTGTGGAAAAACATGGCTTCACGACAATCTGAGAGGATGGCTTTGTACTCACCAGAGAGCCAAATAAAGTCTTCAAGCTCCCAGAACCTTGGGGGTGGGGGGAGGAGTTTAAACAATTCTTAGAAGTTGCTTTCTACTCGTAACATGCTGCTGCTTTCTTTACTTTCATACAATTAAGTGCCACAAGCTCAAGTGAGCAGTTGCAATGATAAATCAGCTCTAGTATGTGCATAGCCAGCAGCTCTGGCAACAGGCCACTTTTAGCTTCAGCTCCTCCTCCTCACCATCCCTTTTAAACTATTCATCTCATCTCAGAACACCACTACCTGCAGTCACTTCCCCCTCACCCATCTCTGATGCTTACACTCATACAGCAACTGAACCGGCATGATGGGATCTCTGACCCACACGGAGTCCTACATCCATCAACAAAATTTTAAACTAGGTGCATGGAAGAGATGCAGCTTAGAGAGCCAGACCTGTTGGACAGGTACCCTCATGTATAGGGTGCTTTCTCCTTCAGAGTCTCTGCTCTGTGGCAGTTCAGGTTAACTAGAGAAGCCAGCAACTACCCAGATGTACGGAGCTAGGACTACTTCAGACAGCTCAGGGACAGTGGGATGTTATGGTGAACTGTAATTCATTTACTTTATATTCATAAGCAAATTGACACATACATGCAAGATGCCAGGTGGAGTAAACTGACTGGAAATGGAAAAGATGGGTTTCAGATGGACATAGGTTTATACAAGACCTGAATCCAAGGGAGAAACAGCAGAAACACCACTGGACAGGACAAAAGCTTTGCCATACATACACTAAAATACAGTTTCTTGCAGTCCTCTTTACCTTGTTTTCCCTGTAGAGCAGTGATACAGTGAATGAGGGAAGTGGGGGCTGAGAGTGGCCTCTGCAAATGAGCACAAGTATTTTAATGGTGTAGAAGATAATGGCATTTTTATAAGTGTGGTGCAGGTATATGAATTCCATCCCTGTGTGATGCTCTCAGGTCTCTGGATGGAGAGCACCAACTCCAAGGGTAAAACACTGTTTTTCTCTTAGCATATGTAACTCCAATTAACCTTATTGGAGCATTGTGGGTACACTGAGAAGATTACAGTCCTTAATGTGCAGTTACAGCTGTACTGTAAATGCAACATTACATGCTTTCTATTATGGTTCAAGACCGCTACGCCCTTCAAAACTGCTACAAACCTCAGAAAACAGGGGTTTATAATGGAAATGCTGAAACACTCAACTCTAAAAGCCCCGGCAGAGAGGAAATATAGCTATAAATTCAGCTTCTGTTTTCCAGCATATACATTGACAAGGTATGAACAATATATATTTCTACACTTAGAACAGAGAGATGTATACATTGCTCTGGGTAATCTTTGCTGTAAAAGCAGAGGATGGAAAGAGCTCAAAGTGGAAAGAGCAACCTTTTGTCTTGTCTTACAGAGTTAGTGCAATTGCAATAATGACAAAAAACAGCAACTGAAATTTGCCTGCTCGTTGGGGTTGGATTCTGAATGCACTTTTTCAAAAAGGATGGGTTATGTTTCTACAGTCAGCACGAAAAGGACAACACCTGCCCCCATATCCCTTCAGCCTCCTTTTCTCAAAAAAAAAAGGAAAACAATTGGCTGTTTAGATATGGTTCAAATGACATTGCAAATCAATACACTATCCACTGTAAAAATGCATAGTTTCTATATATCCTCTGTAGGTTCCCTTCGATATATAATGTAGTTCCTAGCTCCTTAACGCTGCCAAGGAGCAAAATTTGGACTAGCAATTATTAGACTTGCTAACATAAAAAGACCCCAGTCTCTTTGGCAAGAGAAAGATGGGCAGGCAACTACAGTATCATTAGGCCTACGACATTTGGGAATTTCTTCAGATATTAATAGCAACGGCAGAGGTGGGTCAATATAATCCCATTAGCCACATCACGTTGTTTGACTTCTGTTATCTATGAGGAAAGGAAAACAAAACCAACACAACTGCTTTCTGGGAAGTATGCTGAGGCTGGATAAACATGAAAACCCATGCCTGTTTCAGACACTGCAGCCTGACTGGCAGATGGGGAAAGGTGGAGTAGGGAGGTCCATGCCTTTTGCTGGCACTGCCAGGAGGGAGAGGAGAGGGGCACCCACCACTGCTGCTGCACACATGGGGCTCAGCGCAACAGGAGGTCCCACGACCACCATCCTCCTCCTCAGGCACCTGCTCTGCCCCAGGGTTTTGGTGGCATCCCCAGGCATGCTGCTGCTTTTGAGATGCCAGTCCTGCAGTGGCTCCCATCACCTGGGTTAAGTTGGCACATGTGGTGTCAGCTTGCAAGGTAATATCCAAAACACAGCAAGCCTGCATGCAGATACAGTTCCTGGTTTTTATATTAGTGATGCTCACATGTTGGAAAGTTTCTTGAACGTGCAGGGAATGCTTTCAGGTTCATACGCCCCCACAAATTACTTTCTATTACATACATACTAGCAGCACCATTTGTAACGTAAACAGTGAAAGAATCAGATACACCAGAAGCCTATGAGGTATGTGGAAAACTTCATGTGAAAAGCAGCCCATGAGCCCTCCCCATTACAGCTGCTGGATTTTTTAAGGTAATGAATTAGCTAGCAAAACGTTTAGCACTTCTCACCATCATCTCTAACGTTTGCTATAGCATTCTTATGGTAGATGTGAATCCCCTCCTTGTGGGTAACTATTTGAGGCCACTGTGTTTAACTTTTCTGCATGCTTCATTCATGAAGAACACCCACTCACTAGCTTTCTGCTTCCGCCTTTCGATACAGTAGCAGCCCTGGTACCCACTGTGTGCAAAGCCAACACACCCAAAAGCCATACCTCCATGTTGACCCAGAGGCATCGAGTCTCTGCGCAGGAAGGGAACTGCCTCATTGTCAAGACCTGTTCAGCACTTGGCAGCAACTGCAGACATTAACAACAAAGCCATTTTACTGCCATTTTACTACCATTAAAGGACAACACAATCGCCAGTGGAACTGAGAACTGCTTCCGCTTCTTTTGGGTGAGGCTTTTACTAGGACTGACTCCTAGTAGGTTTTTGCTTCTTCCTTTTTCATTTAAAAAGGGTCTTGCATTGTTAGCCTTAACTAAAATCTCACACTCTTCTCCTCCGGCCTTCAGTGTGCACACTGCTTGCTGTCCCATCCCAGAAGCAGCAGCTGAGAAACAGCGTCACTGGCCATCAGTGCTGCACACAGCAAATCTGCGGTCTTCAGCGTAATTAGTAAACTATTTGTAGGAAAGGACCATCAGGCTATAACTATGTCACTGAACCCACTCCTTATTCATTGGGGATCACCATCAGATGCACATTCAGCCCTGGGAGGCCTGCAGAGCATCCTTGTACAAAGTACTTCCTAAAACTCTCTGGCAAGTTTACACTCAGGTGTAATGGCAAGGCTGGAATCACTTCCTAGGCACCTGCTTGTCAGAGGATCACAGCCAAATGTTCAGGAGTGTTTCGCCTGACCTGTGAAGCACACAAAGCTGTTTCTCCTCCCTGCACTATCCTGACCACTGCTCCGTTTTATTAAGCAGCAGGATGAAACTGAAGTATTTCCAGGGATTTTCACTGTAGTGATCTGCGCAGCCTGAGACTTTCAGTTGCCTTCAGTTCAGCAAACAGCAGAACACTGCAATAAGGAAAATATGTAGGCAAAGGCTTCTGCAGCCACTTATGCAAAACTTGTATTTGGCTGTTTCTCTTTTCTAAGACCTTAGAAGTCAACTTAAAAGAAAAAAAAATAAATAAAAAGCAAGCTTAAATTCAGCAAGAAGCTGGATCTTATAAGACTTTTTTTTCAATAGAGATTTGCAGTCCCTACAAGCAGTGTGATTCCCTCCCCCACCTTCTAAGATTGAATGATCATTTATTCCCACTAACCTTTACGCAAGAGCCAACAGCCACACTTCTACCCACAGCTGCAAGGGGGAACGACATCCCTACACAGCCAGTCCCACGTGCTAATGCCGCAGACAGCATCCCAGTGACTTGCCCAGCAACGTGCCACGGGAACGTTGAACACGGCAACACCTCCCAGCCAAAAGCATTGGGCGAGGAGGACCGGGGGAGGAAGAGGATTTAGAGCCCCCCTCTTTTGCCAACTCCAGAGCAAATCCGAGGAGATGCCTACCTTTACATTCCCCCTATGCCTCCTTCACCGGTTCCTGGTCGGGCTGCCAGAAGGCAGCTGCGCTGCAACAGCCCGAGGGGAGGGGTGCGGAGTGGAACCATAGCTGCTCCCACGGGACAGACAGGTGCCTGGATAGCCGCTCTCGGGCCGGCAGCGAGGGACGGCCAGGCGGACTACAACCCCCAGAACCCCCATTGCCTCCCTCACTTCCCTTCCCCCACTGCCCCGCGCTAGGCATGCTGGGGGTTGTAGTCCTGCCGGGGCTGCACCAACGCTCACACACACCCCCGCCGCTGCCCCCGCTGACATGCCGTGGCTGGAAAAGGAGGATTTGCATGGTTGCAAAGGAAACAATAGTTCTGAAACCTATTAGATAACTTAAAAGAAAAAAACACCCTCTATACATTTGCTTGTATAAAAAAATCGAAACTCGGCAAATATTTTTGCTTACAGTAAGAGGAAAAAAGGGAAGATAGAGTACTTGTGCTCTTTATTCTGCTGGGAGTTTGGGTTGTTGGGGGGTAATTTGGGAGGAAAGTGAAAAAATGCTATAAGCAAGTATTGCCTAATAACTCTGCAGAATCAGATGGAAAAAACTTAAATGTTCCCATACATTAATTAGTTAATGACTAGCCTTGAGTCTATGAACGTGCCTGTACTGTATCCTCCACTGAAGTGAATGCAATTGAATCTCATACTCCAGTTGTTGCAGAAACTCAAGGACTTTGAAAATTTTAAGAATGGCTTAGTAATGGTGAGATTTTAGAAGTAATTAAGGACTTATCCACATTGGGAGTTGCTACAGAGTAGCTTCACTTGCATAACTCCCCTTCCCTGTGCTGGACATGTATTTCACACTAACAGTGCTTTATTCTGAATTAGTTTGCACCATCCAGACTTTCAGTTCACAAGCTACCTTCCCCTGAATCAATGGACTTGTGCAAGGTCAGCCTAAACTGCATATTCTGCTTTTACTTTGTGTTTGAGCCTTTATTTAGGCATCTCTTCCCAAAAACTTTGGACTTTGAACTTTTGGACTGAGCTAGAAGTGAAGTTTCTCATACAGTCACTGCTCTCCTGAATTTGGGAAAGTGATAGAACACTTAGTGACACGAGATCTGCCGAAAAACTTTTTGGGAGCATGACCCTATTTGCCTAACTGAGAATGTTTTTCTAACACCGTGAGGAAGGCTGTGCAGGGAAAAGCAAGCTCTTCTTTCAGAGTAAAATCTCCTTTTAGTAGTTAGTCCTGGTCAGTAGCAAGTTTTAGTGATACTTCATGGAGAACATAAAATTTATAATCTGCCCATAGTCAAGGCTTTGAAGTTTTGCACAAATGTACAACAAGCCAGGGAAGTTCTTCCAAGACCAGTTGATATTAAGCCCATGGATATGGGATACACAGAGCTCCCCTTTACCTGAGGGGAAGAGGAGGAGAAGGAAAGATCCTAGATAACAGAAAATAGTAATACCTGAGTGATGCAGGAGGCTTTAGTGCACAGACAGGTGGTACCTATGAAGACTTCTCAGCTTCCACACAGCACCATGCCAGAGCCAGCTCTGTGCAGTTCTATGGCAATGTTCCTCAATGAAGATGCCTTCCCGGAGCTTGGGATGCGATGCAGAGGCAGAACTGCAGAGGATACACGCTGCTTCTTATCTTGTAACCCCAAGACATAGCCCAGCTCTGCACAGAACCAGAGGGTGGCTGTAGGACTTCTTTGGTCAGGTCAAACCACTGAACTGCTTCTGGACTCCATCTGGACCAGGGAAGGGTTTAGCTGCTTTGAAAGGCACTATGGCTCATCTCGTACTTCTAGCACAAGCTGGCAGAACATGAATAGCACACTTAAGTCATAACCTGGATAAGCCTTCCAGGATAATTGAGATTCAACAGTATGTGACTTTAGACAGTAAGTTTTCATAGACCTGTTAAAAAAAAAAAAAAAAAAGGTGAGTTTTTACCTAGCACTTTTCATTTCAAGATTTTGGAATAATCTTTTTTAATGCAGGTTTAGAAAAGGAAAAAAAAAAAAGGGAGAGAAGAAAGGAAAAAAGAACGAGTATGTTCTTTGACTTCAAGTTCAATTGATAGATGATCTATTAATCACCATGCAATTTACATTGAGAATGCCTGTATTAGAGACATAGAAAAGCTGGAATGGATTGCTTCCCAAGATCTTGTGGCATTAAGAGTGGAGTTATGTTTGTTTTCTTTTTTTTTTTGTTCTGAACTCTGTAGCACTTGGTTGACTGAGGCAGTATCTCTTATTAAAAATGAGCTGTTTTTGTGAACACACAGGATTATTACTTATTCCAACATATTTTGTGAGTTCCTGACTGCAAAGACTTGCATAACTAAATACACCATGAACAAGTCCACTGAAATGGCTAAGGTCTGTCTAATGCTTTCATCTTCCTATTTCCCAGAACAATAATGGTCTCAGTCACCTATTATTTGCGAGAATCCACAGATAAAATCAGAACAAAGAGGAAGCGTGGATAATATAGCACCAGACCTTCCTGATGTTTCATTGGAGCAGGGAAATCCACTGAAGACTAAAGTTTCTGTAAACATCGGTCTGACACTGACTGCCCTTCCCACCCCAAGGGGCTGGCTGACGTGGGGAACCTCAGCCCACCCCATTCACCTGACTGCCTCTAACACGGAGCTGGAAAAGATGCCATCTGTAAGGATGAACACAATTCTTTTCCCACATGGAAAGGAGAAGCAAAATCAGGTGCAGATGATTTCCCAATAGCAGAAGGCAGGACAAGAGGGGGAAAAAAAAACCAGAAACATTTAATGCCCATAATGCCAGAGCTAAAAAATCCCACTGTCTTTCACAGGGAGCTTTCTTACACGAGCCTGTGTCTCCTCGCACAGAGAAGAGCGAGTCAAGTTTGCAATGCCATTCAGCCCCATACCTGGCAAAAGCTTTCCATGTTACTTCCATATTTTGAAAAGATCATGTCTTTCCTCAGCACTTTCTCTTAAACACCTAGCAAGCAAGAGAAAAATGGAGCTAAAGCTGAGACAATAACCTGCAAAGTGCTGAGGAGCAAACCAGAGAGCTGAAGTGCTCCTGTTTCCCCTGAATACCTGTCCCAGCTGCACCCTGGTTTCCCAGGCAGTTGCAGAGACAAGAGCTGATGCTGCTGTCTCACCCTTTCCCCTGCAGTACCCCACGCTGACATGAACCCTTGGGGGATTTGCAGGATATTTCTACTGGGGCTTGACTGACCACAGGTGTGGCAAAATCAGGTTCCTGACCAGTACATCAGACGGTGGATACATGATGTGCACAATACTTAATTTATAACTTCGATAGCATGTTAGCAGCAAAAGTAGAGGGAAGCTCATAGAAGAGCAGTTCTTTGTCCAAAAGAAAGGGTTGTTCTCCCTCCTGTGCCTGGGCAAGGCTCTGCTCTTTGCACCCTCGGCCCCTGGGGAGATGAAATGAAGCCATGGAGGGAATCTGGGCTGGGTAAGACCTAGGAGGAACTGGGTCCCTGCAAGCAAATGTTGGAGGCTCTACATTGTTCTTGCCAGCAGATGGAGTGGGGCTGGCATGGGGAGAGTGAGCTGTAGGAGCAGGAGGCCCTCCTGCTCCCACCCAAGCCTGCCCGTCTCCAAGGGGCAGTTTCTCCTGCCTTGGCCCTGCAGGGGTCTCACCTTTCTTATGATAGGTCCTTCTCCTTTCTTCTCCCGGCCAGAGGCTCCATCCCAAAGCTCTCTTTTGATAAAGGTAAGCTTCTCTCAGGGCTACCTCCTTGCACTGGTGCCTGCAGAAAGCTGAACATGGTGATGAAGGATGATGAATGTAAAAGCAATTATCCCTGCTTCTCCACTGGTGTGAGCATGTCTCCAGACACCCATCCTTTTGCTGTTTTACTGTGGACTACTTTGAGTAGACAGAGACCTTCCACATACCTGTATTTACCTTCCATTTCTCTTAAACTAGTTCAGTGTCATTGTCTGTATTGGCCAGCTAGGTTATTTTCCACTCTTATTTCTATTTCTGCAGAGTTTAAGCCAGGGTCAACATGAAAGATGGATATGTTCATGTCAGGTTAGCAAATTAAACCTACTCAGCTAAGAATGACCAGGTTCCCGAGGTGAAAAAGTCAGAGATGGGGGCAGAAATGGAGATGAAGCACTATTTTCCTGCTTAGCTCTGGACACAAAAAAGTGTGTGAAAAAACAACATGTAGCCTTTCTCCTCCCACCCTCTTGGCTTAGGGCCTTCTCCAAGACAAAGTCACAACCCCTCCCCCCAACACCTATTTAAGCATTCCTGCGCTTGTTCTTTTTGTTCAGATTGTGAGACAAAGGTCCTTTTGTTGCTCCCACCCATCCTATATGTTTCAAGCTTTGAGAGTCAGAGATACTAGTTCCACCTTGATAAGCACTCATCGGTATGTTGTTCCTATCAGGCAGGCTCTGATACTTCCTTGGTGGGCAGCACTCAAGGGGCATTACACTCAGCCAGTTGATCGTACAGATGCAGTGCTGCTGTCATGGGCATGGTTCGTTGCAAATGTAAAGTCAGACAGGTTATGCTATGAGCAATGTGAAGTGCTATGCTGTTTACAGAGGGAGGTGTTTGCAGGTAACTCCAATATTTATGCTGCATTCTTCCTTTTTTTGCCTTTTGGTTTTCATTATTCTGCTTTTTGGAATCGATCTGTTCTGCTTCGTCAAAGGAGTGGTAACATTATTGTCTTTTTATTTTTAAAAAGCAGCTCTTTTATTTGTGTCATATATATGATCTTCACCATTATTAATTAAGACATCACCTGGTGTTATGCCTACAGGGGCAAATGTAAATGGAAAAGTACATCAGTATCTCATTTGCTTAATAACAGTCCACACATTTGAA